CTCCAGGCCTCTCCGTCGTCTGCTGCAGAGCTCCAGGCCTCTCCGTCATCTGCTTCAGAGTTCCAGGCCTCTCCGTCGTCTGCTACAGCGCTCCAGGCCTCTCCGTCATCTGCTATAGCACTCCAGGCCTCTCCGTCGTCTGCTGCAGCGCCCCAGGCCTCCATGACGCATGCTGCAGCTCCCCAGGACTCCATGACGCATGCTGCGTCCTTCAAGTCCTCTTCGCCGCCTGCCGCGGCCTCCAAGTCCTCTTTGTCGCCTGCCACGTCATCCAAGTCCTCTTCGCCGCCTGCCGCGGCCTCCAAGTCCTCTTCGCCGCCTGCCGTGGTCTCTCTGGTCCTATGTATTGGACGGCCTCCTGGCCGCCCCCCCCCCCCCCCCCCCCCCCCCCCCCCCGGCCTGTCTTGATGGACAGCCTCCCAGCCGCCCGCAGGAAACAATGACTCCTAGGGACGGTCCCTTGACCGTCCAGATCCTTTGTGTTCCCTCCTTGTGGTTAGCCATAGTTTTTTTTCAAGTCTTTGGTTTCTTCCTCGTGTTATCCTCGGGCCCTCCACCCTTACCATACCATACCAATTTATTTATAAAGCACTTTAAACAGTGACAAAGCACACCAAAGTGCTGTACAGGGACAAACAGAACAAGCACATAGCAACAGATTACATAACAGGACACCAAAAAGTAGAAACCAACAAAAACCCTTGCAGTGCCACCCTACACCCGCCCAAGTCCTTCGGGAGGGGGGTTTTTTGGGGGACGCCTGGGGGCGTCTTTGGGGGGGGGGGGGTTACTGTAAGGATGGTACCTTTTTTTGGCCCGGTTTGTGTCTGTGTTCCCTAGTGCTCTTTCGTTAGTTCAATTAGTGCCACCCTTGTCTCGTCCCAGCTGTTCGTAATCACGTCTCGTCTTGCCCCTGTATATAAGCCGTCTGTCAGTCTTGTTCGTTGTCGCGTCCTACTTGTTGGGTCTCCTGTGTTCCCCTGAGTCTTCCGAGTTCCCTGAGTCTCCCAAGTCCCCTGAGTCCTCCTGAGTTTCCCGTGCCTTATCTTCCTGTTCATGTAAGTTTTGCTGCCCCGTCAGCCTGTTATTTTGTATCTTTATTTATCATTAAATACCTATTTTTGTACTCTTCTGAGTTTGAGTCCCTGTCGGCACTACTGGGTTCCCTCCTGCCTAGAAAATCCTGACACATAAAGAGGAAGGTGCGACAAAGAAGGCCCAAGACGATTGAACAGTTAGAGGCCTGTATTAGACATGAATGGGAAAGCATTCCTATTTCTAAGCTTGAGAAACTGGTCTCCTCTGTCCCCAGACGTCTGTTGAGTGTTGTAAGAAGAAGGGGGGATGCCACACAGTGGTAAAAATGGACTTGTCCCAACTTTTTTGGGATTTGTTGACGCCATGAAATTTGGAAACAACAGATTTTTCTCTTAAAATGATACATTCTCTCATCTAAAAAAGTTAAATCTGGTCCTCTGGACATTCAAAAAAACAAAACAAAGCAAATCAACAAAAAAATGTGGAAACGTTTCGTCTCTCATCCGAGAGACTTCCTCA